TCCCCCTCCCCCCCCTGAACGGGTCACGTAGTATGGGTACGTTCCCTAACTTTGTCGAGTTTTTTTCAATGTTTGAAATTCTTTCGCAAAGGGTTCATTGGCACTCACCGTAGTTTCCGCCACGTTGGTGCCAAATGAAGAGCCTCTAGGGTTTACTGATTCCTGCAGGTGGAGCAGCTCATCGACCGTTCGCTCTAGTGGAGTTAAACTTTGCTGCGTGTACGGTCCTCCTCCTGTGGCCACATTTTCGCGTCGGTTTGTGGCAATTTTTTTTTCAGCTTAAGTTTGTAGTCTAACCGAACCTAAATAGTACATATGTAAATAACTACGGTCACACAAATTAGTTCAGTTCTTACCTTATTCCACTCGCGTCTGCTAGGTATTGGAGGAGGACCAATGGCGTTAAGTTCGGTAGCGAACTTCTCCCACAGCTCTGCCCTGCTCTTCTTTGTGGAACCGTAACTCCCCATCCCTCTTGCGACGTCTGGATTATTTTCCATTATGCTTTTGGAACTGCTGCGTTGTTGTCCGTTTTGTTCTGAAAATTAGATTTTATTAAATAAAATAAATAGGATTAAAATTTACTGACGTCCTTTCCATTTTCAAACGCGAACAAAATAAACAGTCGACAAATTTTGACAGCTTTGGCGAAGCGAATGTCGAATTTCGCTAGTGGCAATACAAGAAATTTATTTTCGCCACTCGTTCGCAAATTTGCGGCGAATTCGCTAGAGATTCGCATCTCACAATTCGAGACGGCTAAATTCGCCTATATTTTCATTCGCTTCGCAAGTGACAATACCAGCCTACGATATTTGCAAGAGACTAGTCGAGCCTGAGTTCTGAACCTTTATTTGATTATATTAAATTTTTTAGTGCAAAATGCAGATAAAGTAGGAATTTTTAAGAAAACTTATTCTCGTGTTCCAGTTAATAAATATTACATAAAAAAAAAATTGTGGAAAACAATTGAATGGTTCTCCCAAAACAAAAAAAAATACACAAAAAAAATTTGAAATGTTATAAAAAAATGTTCACGGAAAAAAGCATTTTTTTGTTTTTAGTAAAAATGAACATTAAAGTCCAATTTTGAACCACTGTGTGCTTTCTTCGTCGTGCAGTCTGAATTATGGTTAACGCATTTCGGTAGCAAAGGATGGCGAAGTCCTTGAAAAGGATTTGGCTTCTTTTTCCGCTCCAGCAGGCGAACTTGTACAATTAAGGGCCGTTTTCTAATGTAAGCTGTAAAGTGGCCTTTACTAACAGGGCAGATAAATTGTTCCTCACTTTAAAGTGTTTTCGTTTTCTTACCTTGCCGGTAAAAATTAATTTGTTATTCCGTATAGTGAAACTTCACTACATTTCCGGGAGTGAAACTTCACTACATTCGTCATAAAATTTCAAAGGTTGGCAATGCGACATAAGCAAATATAGAGCAAGAGCAACTGTTAGCAAAAGCCAAAACCTTGGTTGAAATATCTAATATATCTGACTCATGAACCAAAACCAAACCAAAATTTAAAGTTGGGTACAAATTTTAAAGGTTGCATCGGGTGAGCAACAGTTTATCGATTCGAGAAATTAATGCGCTGATGAGAAAACGAAAACTCGTATATCGAGACGATAAAGTGGCCGGTAAACTAAAGGTTAGATGAGAAAACGGCCCTAAATAATATAATTAACTGGTAAATATTTGATTTAAATTACGATATGGGTAAGGTGTCTACTTTTATCATACAAGTTGTATGTACGTATTCCCAAATCAATTTGAAAAAAAGTCCTTTATTTTACATTGGTTAATATGGTCACCGTACATATAAGTGATTTGTGTAGTTTATTATTACCCTGAAGGTATTATATTCGTTTTTGGTTTTAAAAACTATTTTATAACAAGATCTATTTTTTTAATAAAAGATTTGTTAAGTCGATTTCATGAATTTTATAAAAAAAAAAATTGGCGATTTTTGGCGAACTTTTTTTCAGAAATGTCTATTTTCTTTTTAAACAATCTGAACACCCTGATATTAACACAAGTGTTCGGCGACCTTGGTCGTGAGCAAAATATATTCAACAAAGTGTGATTGAATTTGACATTGGTCTCAGCAGAACCATCCTATAAAGACAAATTGAAAAAATTTTGTATGCATTTTGAATCGCTTGTTTATATTTTTTGGCATAGTAGTACCTTAAAAGAGAGCCAACTTGAGTTGTCAATCGCACCTTGTTTAATACACCTTGGTCGTGAGCGGACCAGCACAGCTCTCGCAATAGTTCCGAAGCACTCACTCAGCTCTTCAAAGCCGACGAATTTTACAACCTTTTAATTTCTGGTGCTCACTTCATTGGCATTGCTTATTTATGCACGTATGTGTGCATGCATGTACAAACATCGCATCTATGAACAAACATACATACATATGCACATATGTACATATATATGAAGAATTAAAACGACATTGCTGAGAGAGGAACACTCGTCGCTTCTCCGACTATTGCCTCTCTTGGTCATAGCCACTTAGCCGACGGGTTGATTTTTGTGTCTTCGCCTGCTTTATTTAGTATCCGATGCAAGTTGATTGAAGTGAGTTCGTCTTTGGTTGAAACGCGGTTACTTTTTTAGAGCAAAGTGACTTTCAAAAGCTTTATCTGACTCATACGTAAAGTAGTATTTGTTGTATTGTTTTTTTCGCATACGTACCAGCTACATTCTCCACTTCTGCTGCATACATATACATACTATATGTATGTAGGTGCAACATGTCTTTCACCCTGGAATCGTGTAAAATGCAAGTGGGCTTTCACAAGAACAGGACGTGCAATAGATTATCGATGGAGGAACGCGTGATGGTAATTAAATTGTATAAAGAGACACCGAACTACCAACGTTTGGCGAATCACTTTGGTTGCAGTTTTAGGCAGATAAAGAAAATTATTGCGAATCAAGATGAGATCATGCACTTTCACAAGAATCTACGTGCGAAAGATTTAGCCGAAGAAGTTTCCAATAGCCGTCGAGAGAAGATTGACTTTCTCGGAAAAGTGGTCTATGAGTTTCTACTACGCGCTCTCTATCTTCGCATGCCAATCGACACAGCGATCATACGACAGAGAGCATTTGAAGTGAAAGAGGCAATAGCTATTGAAAGTTTTACGCCAAATAATGCTTGGTTGCAAGCCTTCAGATCTCATTACAATAGATTGGATTTAACGGCAATGGTGGAGCAATTGCCAAGTGATATGGAGATGCGACGTTCGTTGAAGTGTATCGATATAATTGAGTATGTAAGCAAGCAAGAGAGAGAGAAGAAAGAAAAAAACACATATGGAGGCAGATGACTCTCCTGGAAGTGGTCGGAATGAAAGTGAGAAGGCGATACAGAACTTTATGAAATCTGAAAATGAATTTGATGATTATGAAGTGTATGGCAGTGCTGAAGATGATGCTGATTTGGGGAATCATGAGAGTGTTGAAAATATGAGCACTGCAAACACGAATGCTGCATCGATTTTCGTCGATCTTGATTCGGAGGAGGAAGACGAACAAGCAGAGAGCGCTGTGGTTAAAACGGAGGAGACTGTTTCAGCCAACACAAGCTCTTTTGCTACTATGCCTATTTTAAAACCCTCAACGCCCCCACCTTTTCCCGATATACACAGCTATCCGGAAGCCATGCGTCATCTGAAAGTGCTGGAAGATTTTGCGATGATAGAAGAGAACTATCGCGCTATTGGCTTGATAACGCAACTGGAGCAAATTTTCAAGAATCCACCCAAATTGAAGAGCTTAGTGCATTGAATAGTTTAATTGAAATTTTTATCGTTTCATGTTAAGGCAGTTAATTACTTAGATCTAGTATTTACATTTATGCATACGTATGTACATATTTTTATCTAGAAGATAATTAAAAATCGAAAGAGGAAATATGTTTAAACGAATTTCCATTAATTGATAACAGTAATGAGATTCGATTTTTACATAAATACTACGCCTGTTAAGAATTATTCAGGATAAGACGACATTGTTCTAAATGTTAATATGTAAATATATAAATATGTATTTACTATTAAGGGTAAATAAATAATAACTCAATTTTTGTTATTTATTAGATCTGTTGTTGCAAGAAAAGGTTGATAAGATTGCTTGAAGCTTGAATGTCACTAAGAAACCAACTTAGAAATTTTGTTGTACCAACCAAACCAAAATACACAAAAAGAGTTAAAGTGAAACCTTAAAATGATTTTGCTCCACTATATCCCACTTTTTCTACATACAGTAGGTCGAAGTTTCCACATTTTGGTCACAAATTCGATTATCTCACAAGTCATTTTATATGTAAATTTATTTTAAACCTAATTCTTGTCTTTGGAAACCTATAACTATAAGGGAGGTCCATAAAAATATCAATATCGTTGGACATCGCTTTATTTCATTCTACGTAGAAAATAAAAACAATCACGAAGAATTCAAAGTGTAAAAAAATCAAAAGTTGCTACCGGGGTTTCATTTTTTTTTTAATCGCAAACATTCAACCGTTTATGAATTTACGAACAAGTTTCAAGAATGAGTCAAATTTATCAGATTTCAGTTACAAAAAATAAAGGAAAATAAGTAAAACATTTTAACACCTCAACCCCTTTTGATAGTATATCTTTTTGAAGAACTTCCAAGTAAGCTCATTAAAAATCGCAGCGAGAGGGTTAAAATGTTATACAAAAATGTTTATCAGGAAATTACAATAGAGGTAACCGTAGATGATAAAATCGTCTGATTTGATGTAAATGCGTTATTCGGTTTTATCTAAAATTGAGAACAAAGCAATTACAAATGGATGTAGGTGTAAATTATATGAAATTCTTGGGGCAATCACTTAGGTCCAGTTTCTCAATATCTGGTTAACACTAACTACAGGTTAAACACAACGTTATCCACTCCCTGTTATATGTTATGGAGTCGATAACGATGTTGAACCTGCAGTTAGTGTTAACCAGACATTGAGAAACTGGCCCTTAGTCCCATAAAATTATAAGTTGGAAGGAAAAATCTTAAAAGCTTACATAATTTGTGAACACCTATTTAAAAATAGATATTGATGGCTGAGTGGATGATGGACCTACATATTATATGTATATCGGCGGCTGTCTACTAAACATTCAGCCTCATTGCGTAGGTCGTAAATTAGGCTAAATTGTACGACTCGACAACAGTAGCATTGTCTATTGTCGTAATGAAATAAGTAAACGACCAAAATCGTCGAAAACTATACAGTGCTGCCAAGTTTTTCCGTTTTAATGCACTAGTCGAGTGGAAATTTTAGGCAATGACGTGCAATTTTCGATACGATTCGACTCTCGAAAAACGACTGGCATTCGACACGACTCTCGCAATGAGGGTGATTATCAAGAACACTCTATTTCAGAATTTGCCTGAAAACGGCATAAATGCCTTATCTCAACATATTTTTACTATATTTTCAGTTGGGATAGGGCGTTTTTGAAACGTCAACTAGGATAGAACGTTCTTCAGGCAAATCCTGAAAAAGGGTATTCTTCAATCAAATTCTAAAATAAAGCGTTCTTCAGCAAAATTCTGAAATAGGACGTTCTTGAAATTTTTTTCTGAGATACGCCGTTTTCGAAACGGCTGCCGAGGTAGATCGGCCTTCCATTCAGCCGTCGATATGTTATACGGTAATACCACGCACTAAAAACACAAAATTAACTGGTGTGTTTTTTTTTTTAGTTTGGCCGCCTTATTGCTGCGGGATACATACTACAGTAGTCTCTTGGATGGTTTGCTGGAAGTAGGTAGAGTTTTTGTTAATGATTTTTCAAAGACAGTAAATTGTACAATGCGGCCACGTCTTGGTTAATTTGGGAAAAAGAGGCAATACATAACCGAAAAAATCGCAGAGTTATGAAAAAATTGTTTGTGTTTGGATATTTTAGTAAATAATAATATGTACATATTCACAATTGTCTTGTCACTGTAAGTACATACCTGTAGAAAAAGATATAAAAGGTTAAAGTAAAATTTTTTAATTTTTTATTTATTTTAATATCTTATGAACTACATAACCGATGACGACATCACAATACAATGAAGATAATTAATTTGACTTTCAGTTGATGTAAACAATTTATATGTTTTTTATTATGTTTTTAAGCCAAAATACTAAAAACGCAAAAAATTAAATTTTTTTTAATGAAAAAACCCTTTTTTGAAAAAAAAACTGCATACATAATTAATGCTTAAGTAATTTACGTATGTATGTATATTATTTAGAAAGTACAAGATCGATATATTTTTTATTATAATCTGTTTTTGGGTTTTAAATATATGTATAGTGATAGTAAAAATATAAATAAACAAAGCAAAGTAACCTCTTATATTTACCTTCTTTATTTTTAACTTGCTTTCCGTACGTCATGGCGTGTGTGTATTTTACTACGATTGTACGGTAGAAAACATTTTTGTTTATTTCCTAAAACACTTTGCATGCTTTCAAACCAGCGATCGGATTTTCTCGAGCCAAATCTCCATAGTCGATTCAGCGCTCAGCAAACGATTTAAAAGGCAATACTACATACATGCTACATACTACATATATACACACATGTCCATATTAACACACGTATTCAGCGACTGTTCGGTCGTGAGCGGACCAGCACAGCTCTCCCAATAATTCCGAAGCACTAACTCAGCTCTTCAAAACCGACGAATTTTACAGCATTCTAATTTCTGGCGCTCACTTCCCTGCAAAAAATTTTCTAATCTCTAAAGAGAGTATTCCGAGATTACCTCAATCGGGTACAGTTGGGCATTAATTAGTCCGAACTAGTCTAATACGGGTAGTAATGGAGGTCAATTAGGCTCGACTCATCGCTTTTGGGTATAATTGGAGGTCAATTAGTCCCCAACTCATCTCTAACGGGTACTATTAACGATTTAATGATATGTACGCACTTAGTCAATGGAATTTCATGTGCGGCGTTGGCACACAGAGAGAGTATTCGCCTAACAAAACAGAGCAACCCGGTTCGCATCTCAGCTGGCGCAAATTTTTATTTTTATTTTTTAAAAGTGACTAGTCGCCTTTTATACCCTTTCGGTATAAAGGTGAATAATTAGTCTCTTCATAGGACATGCTCGAACAAATAAGAACAGTTGATTCCAAATAAAAAGATACCAAAAGTGGTATTAGGCGTTTTTCCTTTGCTCCCGGAGTCATCGCGGTCTAGTCCTATTCTTGCAGGGTTGGTTAACATTGCTTATGCACATATGTACATAAGTATGTACAGAAACATCGCATCTATTCACAAACATACATACATATGTTCATATATAAGAGGAATTAAATCGCCATTGCTGAGCGAGGAACGCTTGGCACTTCTCCGACTATTGCCTCTCTCGATCATAGCCACTTAGCCGACCGATGATTGGCTTTTGTGTCTTCGCCTGCTTTATTTAGTATCCGATGCAAGTTGATCGAAGTGAGGTCGCTTTCGGTTGAAATGCGCTTACTATTTTCGGGCAAAGTGGCTTTAAAAAGCTTTATTTGACTCATACGTAAAGTTGTTTTTGTTTTTTCCCATACATATCATCCACCTTCTCCACGTCTGCTGCATACATATGTATACTATACATAAGCACATAAATGTAGATGCAATATGTCTTTCACCATGCAAATGGGCTCTCGCAAGTACGTTAAATTATCGTTGGAGCAACGCATGATGGTAATTAAATCGTTTAAACATACACCAAACTACAACCGTTTGGCGAGTTACTTCCATTGCAGTACAAGGCAGGTAAGGAGTATCATCGCTAATAGAGATAAGATCAAGCGCTACCACAATGAACGTGCCAAGAAATTAGCAGAAGAAATAGTCAATCGGCGTCGAGAGAAGATTGACTTTCTCTGCGAAGTGGTCTATGAGTTTCTACTACGCGCTCACTATCTTCGCATGCCAATCGACATATCAATCATACGAACGAAGGCATTTGAAGTGAAAGAGGCATTAGCTATTGAAAATTTTACACCAAACAATGATTGGTTGCAAGTCTTTAAATCGCATTACGATACATTGGATTTACCAGGAATGACGGAACAATTACCAAGTTCTATGGAGGAGCGACGTTCGTTGAAGTGTATCGATATAATGGAGTATATAAGCAAGCAAGCTGGAGGGAAGGAAGAAAAAACACATATGGAGGCAGAGGACACCCCTGGAAGTGGTCGGAATGATAGTGAAAAGGCGATACAGAATTTTATGAAATCTGAAAATGACGTTGATGATCATAAAGCGTATGGCAGTACTAAAGATGATTTGGGGAATCATGAGAGTGTTGAAAATATGAGCACTACAAGCGCGAGTGCTGCACCGATTGTCGTCGATCTTGATTCGGATGAGGAAGACGAAGAAGTAGAGAGCGCTGTGGTGAAAGCGGAGGAGACTGTATCAGCTAACACAAGCTGTTTTGCTACCAAGCCTATTTTAAAACCCTCTACGCCCCCACCTTTTCCCGATATAGACAGCTATCCGGAAGCTATGCGTCATCTGAAAGTGTTGGAAGATTTTGCGATGATGAAAGAGAACTATCGCGCTATCGGCTTGATAACACAACTGGAGCAGATTTTCAAGAATCCACCGAAATTGAAGAGCTAACCGCATTGAATAAGTCTAGATCTAGTATAAAGATGTCCATATCTACATAATACTTATAGATTAAAAAAGATACTTTAAACTCCAAATAAATATTTTTATTGTATTTCCGATAGATTGATACAGTTAAGATATTCGATTTATATGAATACGCCTAATAAGAAAATTTCAGGTTAAGATGACATTGTTCTATATGTTAAAATGTATATGCATACATAAATGTGTACTATTTCAGGTAAAAAACTGATAACTCAATTTTTGTTATTTTTAAGATTTGTTGCTGTGAAAAACCTCTTACCATCTGCCGCATTTTTAGAGACTTAAAAATAAAATGAAGCTTTTAATGTCACTAAGAAAACGACTAAGGAAATTAGTGTATAGCATTAACCAATTAGGCTTAAATGGTAGTTTGTGTAAATGATTTTGTTACACCAAATTACAATTTCTTTCTACACACAGTAGGTCACAGTTTCCACCTTTTGGTCACACATTCGATTTTCTTACAAGTAATTTTATGTGTAATGTGTATTCGATAGTTTGACATGGTTGCGACGATATGTGCTATTGGATCATGTTCCAGCGAACTGAAGGTGACGCACATCACAAACCGCTACTTTGGTAAACCACGCCTCAAAAACTTTAAATGCCCTGAAATTCACTAATAATTTCACTAAAACATCCGTTTGTTTTTTAAATAATTGTTATTACAAATCATGTATGTATTTTCACAATTTAAAGCAATTAAAACTCGTTTCCTATCGGAAAATGGAACATTAATGTAATTGATCCTTTGGTATTTTCTTTTATCCTACTATTCGGCTTTCTTTAGTGTTACTTGAGAAATAACTTCGACGTCGGGAATGCGCATTCTTGTATTCTATCATTTTTGCTATTGGATGCTTTGATATCTTCTAATAGGTCTAATAGCTATCGCAGACCTCGCTTTTGTTTATAAAAATGTACTATATTGCAATCATTGGGGACGTCGTTTTCATTTCTAGGCTTGGGTAGGGCTGCTATTGTTGTTATTAATGTAGGGGATAAAGCACAATGGCCTTAAGATTTATTGGGCGCTACAGAAAGGCGCTGGACCAATGAAAGGCGTTGATGGTACTTACATCGTTTCGTTTATCGGCTATCTCGTTTAGTTGAATACCAATGTGTCCGGAATCCAAGGAACCCAAACTCGGTTGGTTATACCAACAGTATTTAGTTTATTACAGAATTCAATCATAAGTTTAGATGCTACCTGATAGGTCTGGCGGCCTTAGTCAAGATTGCCATGTTCCGATTCTGGAAGTTTCACTTGATAATAAAGTCCGCGCATCTTTCTACAGCGCACGTTTCAGCCTGGAAAATTGGCATATAAATATTTCCCATAGGTTCCGAGTATCTCAACCTCTGTCCAACTATCTACCCGGTACTCTTTACTGTCAATCTTCGTAAAGCTAAAGCTCTCAGGGCATTGATTCGTCAGAATATCAATATTTCACGACTAAGAAACTGATATTGATACCAGTCATCCTTAGTAGAGAGGATATGATCTAGAAGAACTTCCAAAGATGCGGTTAGGCAAGTACTCATTGCTCCAGTTATGCATTCACATGTCAGCCATTGTATCTTGGTGAGCGCTTTGACTGTACCAAGTTGTGCAGTTTTATCGACCCAGATGATGGCTACATAAGTTATCAAGGGTCGTACTATCGCCGTGTATGTACGTAGATCGAATTCAGCATTTTTGGATTGTATCCCCAACTCTTTCAAACTTTGTGGAAAATTTGAAGTAATCAAGTTTTCATAAAAACTTCAATCTTGTTTCGTGCAATTTTTAAAATCAGTTTGAATATGCAGTATGCGTATTTGAGTATGCTGCAGATCACCGTAAATTTTTGAAAATTTTTTTACAGAAACTCTTTCCGCGTGCAACACTCTCCATACAAAAAAGGTCGTTACCGCTTCCCATGGGCAATATAATTTGTATCATATTTTAGGACTTGCGCCAAAATATTTCGGAAAAATATCAAAATTTACCTACTGGAAATACCTCCAAAAATCGGGTTCCTTACAAATAAAATTAGTTTTTAAAAATAGTTTTTCTAAAAAATAACTTCAGACGATAGAAGTGCCTAAAAATGTTCAAAAAAATATTATCAACGGAATCAAAATCATGAGATTTTTGGAGATATTTTTAAATCGGCTTAGCGCACGCAAATCTCAAATTTTTCTGAAATATTTTGACGGAAATCTTACATGTACATTAGGGCGCGTCAATTTGTATGGAAGATTTTTACGACTGTGCGCGTAATTCGAAGCAAATTTTGCCAAGGAAGCCATGGGTCTAAAATTAATCTTGGCATTTTGCTATAGTGTCGTAAGGAGGTGCTTAAAATTTTTATAAAAACATGCTATAGGTAAGCGTTTTTTTTTGTATAAGGAATTGATTTCTGCACGTACCTTTTTCTTAAAACTTCCACCAGGGCTCGCAACAGTGAAAGGTTTCTTCGGCCAATTTGCTCAGAATTATACGAAGAATCCTCCTATGCTATATATACATAGTCACAAAGAAATTGACCCGCCCTAACTTACATCTATCTTATCTTTGTATGGATCTAGCAAATACTTATGTACATACGTATATACATTTGCCCTAAAATTTGTTTACAGTATTTTTGACGCTGAATTCTGAAGGACACGCCCTTTCCTATTTAGAGCGAATTCCTCATTATAATTGAGCTAACTTTTGAAAGAGCCGTATAAGAGATACATACCCTAGGTGGTATGTATATTCAATTCATTTTTTATTTAAAACTAATTACATGTATAAATTGTACATAGAAGTACACAAACATATGTATTTAATTTATTATCACTGTTGTTGTTGTTGCCACTATTTGGCTTTACTTTGCCTATTTTGTCGGCGATTCGCGATTTCCTCATAAACAATCGATGTCACCTTAAGTTCAATAGCGTCCACATCACTTTCCGACAAACCAGCTGACAAAATTTTGTGCGCCAAACTCTCAAATACCATTACAGTCGAATTTTTCGCTCCTAGCGGATCAAAGCCGCGCGCTTCGACGGCGCTATCGCTACATTTTTGTATAACTTCTGTGAAAGCCGGTTTAACATTTTCTTCAATTTCAATAGCAGGAGCGACTTCATTTGATGGCGCGCAAAAGCTCGATTGGGAGTCTTCATCCATTTTTGGTGATGGTAAAGGTCCCCAGAGATCTTCATCGTCATTGTTTGTCTCCTCGTTGTCGTAAGTATCCTCATCACTGCTATAGGACCTGTTAAAAACAATTTTCCAAACACTGTATGCCGGTTATTACGTGCATATGTATGTTTGTATGTATTATGTAAGTAAATGTCAAGCCCTAACCCCAAAAAAAAACGTAACCGAGCATCTAGATACATTTTTGCATCAAAAAGAAAATTTTGAAAAAAATGCCGGTTACATTTTTTCGGGATTAGAGCTCAATATGTACATACATATCGCACACCAACTTAAAAGAGACAAAACTTAAAAATCAGATCGTGGATGCAGATACAGATGCGACGCACTTAATTCAGCAACAGGTATAGTCGTAGTTTTCTAGTTAGAGAATATATTTATTTATTTGCATTAATTGTTGATAAATTCTATGAATTGATTTATGCAAAACTAATTATCGACCTAAATTTTCTTTGAGTTGTGCCTCTTTCGAATATGCTGTGCGATATGTAGGTACTTATTTAGGAGCAACTGAACACATATTCAACACTTACTGTTTGCCCTCTTTGATGCCACGCAAAAAGGATAGCTCGTCAGCATATTTATACTTTGTTTTTGGGACTCTTTTACCTGAAGTAGTCAGATGTGATTTTCGTATTGTTTTTGTGTATGTGTCGCGTAGCGATTTCCAGCGTTTCTTGCACTCCGCATCTGAAAGTGCGAACGTAAATGCATACAACTATAAACATATGGAAATCTGCATATGTATGCATGTATGCATTAACATTAGGGTGTTTCATTTTAGGCGATATTTTTGTTGTGCTACCTAAAAACCTAAAACTTTAAAAAAACCTAAAACTTAAAAAAAAAACTTTATAGAAATTAAAAAATTAAGTCGTCTAAAAAAAATCTAGGTACATTAAGGGCTTAGCTCTTTTAAAAATTCGTTTTCCCATATACATACATACATATGTACATAAATAACTCGGGGAAAAATTTTGTTTCAGTTTCAATTCGATATTTCGGTATTAAAGAAAAATCTTAGTGTACACTGTACACTTACAGCTTCGGTAGAGCAAGAAATTTCCGGATGCTAATAAGAATACAATAATGTTACCACCAACTCGGAAATGAAAAAAATTACCTCTAGATATTATCAAAATTTATATTTACACAATTTAAAATTCTTGATAAAAAATTTAATAGCTTTTCAGTATTAATTATAGGTTAATTTCTAATGTAAGATATCACCATATGATTTTCAAAGCAAAGAGGTTTAAGAATGTAATAGTTTGAAAATATTTTGAAGAGGGTTGCCGCCTATTTGAAAAGTCGAATTAAATTATTTTATGCCCAAATGAAATACATATTAAAAATGGGTATCAAATAAAAGAGTTTTAAGAAATCTTTAGTTTGACAATTTAGAATGTTTTGACGTAGAATACGTCTTACCTTAAGGTATGGGGGCTATGTTCAAATGTTGTAGTTGTAATTTTTAGAGCTTCACAAAAACGCTTATTGCACGAGAACTAATAAAGCGATTTCAAAGAAAAGTGTGGCGTTTCAAAGATAAAATTCCAAACCTGTCGACAGATTCATTTTTGTAAATAACCAATTCGGTTTCTGTCGTAAAAACAACGGTAAACATTGCCTTATTTTGGGGTCAATTTTGAGCCTTTAAAGTGCTCTAGCAACTTATTGTTGGCATATATAACTTTCATTTTCGGGATATAGGTTCTTTGGAGTAGTAGAAATATTATCGGGTACAAATTTTATATAAATTTATCAAATATTGAGCATTTTTAAGGCAAAAAATTTTTGAAAAAATTTGCAAATTTTTTTCATTACCAAAATGCTCGAAAACCGCTCGAATGATTTTGTTTTTGTTTTCTTTAATCAAAAATTCAAGAGTTTTCCTTTCGTTTGGTATATGGGAAGTATTGGTTGATATCTTCTATATATGTTTATTTTATTCAAATATATGGGCATAAATGATTTTCCATACAAAATCACCTCGTCATCATTTTGCAAACACGTGCATATGTTGGAAGTGTGGGAAGGAGACAAAAAGTATGTATGTGTCCGTAAGTACATACTTCGGGGTTTATCGGTATAATAATCGATACTTTGTCGGTTTTATTACTGATGTTTTTATCGATTTTGCTATCGAAATTTTTATCGATAATGTTATTGATTTTGCTATCGATATTTTCGGAACTTATCGATATAATGATCGGTATTTTTTCGATTTTGTTATCGATATTTTTTCTCGATTTTGTTATAGATATTTTGTTGACTTTGTTGTCGATTTTGTTATCGACACTGTAATCGATTTTATGATAGATTATTTATCGATTTTGTTATCGATATTTTTATCGATTTTGTTATCGATTTTATTACCGATATTTTTATAGATTTTGTTGTC